AATATTTTTAGTAAGTTTCTAAAACAATAAAAATGTAGTAGTGATTTAATTACTAAATCCAATTTGTATTTTACACTTACAGCATGTGTCAGTTTGACTAGCCACACACTTTAAGGGTTTGGTAGCCATGTATGACTAGGGCTACCATATTGGACACTGCAGTTCTGGGTCTTTGTCAGTACTATTCAGTACATTTAGTCTAAATTGACATCCTTGGGACTCATCTTAAATATCATTCTCCCTGCTCTCTATCCCCAGTGAAAATGTGGTCTTTCTAAGCTGCATTCGTTACTTTAGTATTTTAATTGTCTTCTTTAATCTCCCAAACCTCATGATGTTTCATTATTGCTTTTATGACTAGTATTCTTGTTCAGTAAATGGGAAATTAGAGCAGCAAGCTTAATAGAAATTTATTTATATTTATAGTAACTGAGTATAGAGTTCTGAAATGTCTTCCAGTGTGTAGCACACAAGAACTTACAGACTTCGTAAAATGCACAAGAATCATCGTTATTTCTTTGGTCTTTTAAATAAGGTTAATGGGTAGGTGATTTCTGGATAGGCACAGTGCTCCTCTGTCAGGTAGCTTTGTTTTAAAAAGCATATTCTAATAATGCAGCTTGGAATTTAACAATGGATCTTTGAGGAATGCTATTCTGTTGGGGAATTGTGCAATTTTTAAGCATTCTTTTTAGTGTTAATAGTAAATATTACTTCATATTTACAGAGCCCTTTGCATGCCCTTCTCTTAAATGAAATAATGCTGAGATATGGGTTGTTAGGGGCAAGAAGTTTCAGATAGTAAAGTTTCCCTATTATCATTCTTAGTTGTGGAAGGTTATTCTTGATTAAATTTTTAAACATGATGTGAAATCTTGAACGTTCATATAATACTGCCCTTGTGCTATACACACCTGCATTTGTGGCAATCTAGATTCAAATAGTTCTCTGCCACCAGCCTGATACAGACAGCAAAAATTAATTGCCCTATGAATATTTCTTGGATAGATGCATGGGCTTAAAGCGTTATTCCCAAAGCATTATTTCTTACACTGGAAATATGTTAATAAGAATGGGGGTGTGGAATAAGAATATTGGGAAAAGTTTGGAGAATGCTGTGTGAAACAGATATCTTGATTGTGGGACTGGACTTCTTAGACCCTCCATAAATATGCTTATGTTTGTTGTGAAGAACTAAGGAGCATATAGTATAACATTATTTTCTAAGTTATTCAGCTAGTAAACCCTCACACCTTTTTTTTTTCATTAATATATCCATGAGTATTATTCTAAAGTATACAGTTGAGGAAGTGCTGCTCTCCCTAAAATACTGAATTTGCCTGTGATGAAACTTCATCTGTTCATATATCCGAGGAAATCTGAGCAACAATGATAGTGTTTGGAAGGCAAATGTATTCATTTATTCTACAAATACTTAATGTATAGGTTCATGTGTGGAGTAAGCACTTTGCTAGACCTTCATTAGGTAGTAAAAGTAAGATACAAGTATATCATTGTAGAGTTGCCTGGACATCTGTGTGTGTCCGTGGATGTGTGTGTGAGACGGATTTAGATGCAGAGATAACAATATCTCTGTATAATCCTTTTTAATAAAGAGGGAATATGCAAATTGACCCTCACACCATCACAAAGATGGTGCCCACTGGAATCCCTGGTCCTTTCAACCCCGCCGAGGGGGCGCAACAGGGCAGCTGGAGTCCCCAATCCTTTCGGTTTCTGCAGCCCCTGGACTGGAAGTGGAAGTCAAGACTGCGGGGAGCACCAGGAATGCTGGGAATCGTGGTTCTGGTGGCAGATGCATTGTGCAATTTCCTAGACCAGTGATTGGCAAACTGGCCCCTTGAGTGTAGCTCTTCCACAAAATACCACGTGTGGGTGCACACGTACAGTGCGATTGAAACTTCATGGCCCATGCCATCGGGCCAAAGAGCCGCATGTGGCTCGCGAGCCACGGTTTGCCAACCACTGTCCTAGACACTCGAGCAAAGTGAGCCTGGAGCAAGTTACTGTTGCAGATGGGGGGTGGAGGGAAAGCAAAGGTGAGAGACATAAGTAAAGTCAGAGTGTTGAGGAAAAATTAAAAGGAAGATATCCTGCAACTTCTAGGAAATCTCCACCAATGGAGCAAAGGAAAAAAAAGAGCTCTATTATTCTGTGAGCACCAAACCAGACTGGGCTGGGGTCTCACGCAATTCTCTCATGATTGCAAAGACACAGAAACTTCACTCTTTTATGTACCCAGGCAGATACAATGCACAACATGCACGTTTTCATGCAAGAGGACTTAACAGCACCGTTTGCTATACACCCTTTGGTAAGTCACCTTTTTGGTGGCCATCTGTGTTAGTTAATTGCCATATCAAGAGTAAAAATTAAAACTTTTCTATCTCTATGACAAGGAGGCCCTTACAGCTTGGAGCAAGACAACTATCTCTAATAATAAAAGTGTAATATGAGGGGTGATCAGGCAGGCAGGCAGAGTGGTTAGGGGTGAACAGGTAGGCAGGCAGCAGAGTGGTTAGAGGAGATCAGGCAGGCAGGCAAGCAGTTAGGGGCAATCAGGCAGGCAGGTGAGCAGTTGGCGCGATCAGGCAGGCAGAGTGGTTAGGGGCGATGAGGCAGGCAAGCAGCGTGGTTAGGGGCAATCAGGCCAGCAGGCAAGCAGTTAGGAGCCAGCAGTCCCGGATTGTGAGAGGATACAAGCAGGGCTGAAGGACCACCCTCTTCCCTCCCCACCCCCCTCCTTTGCACGAATTTCATGCAGGGGCCTCTAGTTGGGATATAGACAGCATGAATGTCTATATCCCAAAAAGTATTTCACTTTGCATTGATTTCTCAGTTTCCCATACAGGTCCTTATGTTGGGAGTTTTTTGTTATCTAATTTATATCACTTTCCACTGTTTTCAGTTGCTTATAAGATAAATGTTTATTCACAGCTTTCCATTATATATCAAGTATATTAGTATTTATCACAAGGCATTCTAATAACTCTCATCTTTGAATCTTGATTAAATTTTTTCATCATAAAAAGTCAGATTGTGTACTATGTGTATAGCAACCGTTAGTTGCTAAGGGTTATAGAATTTCAACACATTCCATTGTCTGTGGCCATTTTTAAAAGAGAAAGTAAGAGAAAATTTCTCTCACATACATGTGTATGTATTTGTTTTCCATTTTGATAAAAGTCAAATTATTTGTAGAAATGATAGAAGAATGCTTTCTCCATGTGAAAATAAAACATTTCAGCTAGATATATTGCAGGTAAAGCTATAATTACTTTGGATCATCAGCCTCAATTTTTCTCTTCACTAGAAATATATTTTTTACAGTTTACATATTTGGGACATGTAGTGAGCCCTCAGATGTTAGCTGTGCAATCACCATCATTATTCTTTCCATTGGATAAAGAGGTTGAGGGGATTCCTAATGAAAATCTTAGTTTTTGAAGTTGAAAGCAGTTGCTATATGCTTGTAAATCTGTGTCCTCTCTCACTTTTACACTGAGCTCCTTGAAGGTAGGATCCATCTGTTTCCAGCATTACATTGCCAGCAGAGATCCTGGCACAAAGTAAGAGTTTATCAGAGAGTAGTACTCGAGTCAGATAGATCTGAGTTGAATTTCAACTCCACTACTAACTTGAGTGTGAGATCTTGGGCAAGTCACAAATCCTCGTGCCTCAGTTCCTCATCAGTAAAGTAGGGAGGATAATAATTGCCTGCCTTCTAGGATCTAGTGAGGATGAAGGTTGCTCAGTACATTTAAGTATCTTTTCTAAGCCAATTTACAGATTTGCTCTTCTGGCTTTGTTTTATTGTGTTACTTTTATGAATGACCTCTTTAGTCTTATCTCTGTAGGAATCTGGGTGTATAGAATATCTCCCTCACCACAACCAAAATCTGACATTTTGAAACTATTTTCAGTCTTTACTTTTCAATCTATTTCATTCTCACATGACATTTAAAAATTATTTTCATTGATTTTAGAAAGAGAGGGAGAGTGAGGGAGGAAGAGAGAGAAACATCAATGTGAGAGAGAAGCATTGATTGGCTGCCTCCCACATACCTCCCCCCCGCCCCACTGGGAGTCAAGCCAACAACCAGGGGCATGTTCCCCGAGCAGGAATCAAACCCATGACCTTTTGGTTCATGGGATGACACTCAACCAGCTGAGCCACTCTGGTCAGGGCATGTTTGTTTTGTTTGTTTTTTTATCTAAACAATAGAAACAAAGTGGAAGGAAGATCTCTGAGTTGAGGACTACTCCCATCAATATTTTTTTATTATAGTTATTGTAAACAGTTTACTTAGCTCATTGATTTTCTGCTGCCTTTATAAATACACATACTAAAGCTATAAAATGGCTTCTTAGTATGGCTTTAGCTTATTCCATAGGTTTTAGATATATAGCATTTTAATTTTTATTCTGTATAAATATTTTCTAACTTCCAAGTGTGACTTCATTGACCTATGGGCTATTTAGAGGTCTGTTTTATAATTTGCAAGTACATGATAATTTTCTAGTTGCCTTTTTTTTTCACTTATTTCTACCTTATTTGCACTGTGATCATGGGATATTGTAATTTAATTCAAGATATTACTGTTTTATTCTATTAGCAATCATTTTTATTGGTGTGTGTTCCCATATGTGTACATAATACTATCCCCTCCCTTTATTGTGGAAACAGCTGATATTTGTTGTGAGGGAAAGTTTTTCTTTTGAAATACCATTACTAATAGTAATCTTTTTTGAAAACTCTTCAGTAGGTTTCCACTGTAGGCTTGCCTAATAGTGTCAGAGTATTAATATGGTTATCATTTCCTAAGCAATTTCCTAAAAATGGAAAATTTGCTTAGAAGTGAAGTTGTACAGTAATGTACATCAAGCAAAAATTTGTTGCAGAAGTTGCATTGTGTCAAAAATTCTCTTATGAAAGTGGTTTGATATTTAGAATATCTTAAATTATTTTTCTTCTTCAGCTTCCAGCCGATCTTACGAAGATGCATATCACAGACAACCCTCATCCACAGGTGACTCACGTGTCTTCCAGTCAGTCTGGTTGTAGCATCGCTAGTGACTCTGGAAGCAGCAGTTTATCTGATATCTATCAGGTAATATTTTAGTGGTTTGTGTGTTATATATATATATATATATGGGTTTTTTTTATTCTATCAAGTATTCTGTGCTTGTGCTTTAGGGGGTCACATGTCTTTTAAGTAAGATTTGAAATTCAGGCATAAGGTTTTGGGGAAAAATGCTTTATTTACTGTTTCAGAGTTGGAAGTCTAATTAAAGAGGTGATCCATTTTTTTTAGGGTGATTAAATATAATTCAGCAGTGTATGGACATAGTGTTCTTTTTAACTTCTTTTATCCAGATGAAACCATATAATGTTTGCCTTGGTAAAAATTAGTTATTGAGGCCTGGTTGGCATGGCTCAGTGGTTAAGTGTTGGCCCACACACCAAAGGGTCACAGGTTCAGTTCCAATCAAGGGCACATACCTACCAGGGTTGCAGGTTCAATCCCTGGCCCTGGTCAGAGTGCGTGAGGGAAGCAACCAATTGATATGTCTCTCTCACATCAGTGTTTCTTTCTCTCTCTCTCTCTCTCTCTCTCTCTCTCTCTCTCTTCCCCCTCTCTTCCACTCTCTTGGAAAAAATCAGTGGAAAAAATATCCTCATATGAGGATTAACAATAACAAAAAATAGTTATTAAAACAACTGAACTTAAACTTATAAAAAGGCTGATTTTTATTATTACTATATAAATCTCCTATAAGTAAGATTACAAAGAAAATTAGAGTTGCTTTTGTATTTTGAAGGCTCTATTAAATTTTCTAGTAGCCATATTAAAATAAAAAGCAACAGGTAAAATTAATTTTAATAATACATTCTATTTAGCACAATACATCCAAATATTATCACTTCAACATTTAACCAGTGTTTAAAAACTATGAACGAGTTACATAAGTTTTTTATACTGTCTTCAATAGCCAGAATTTATTATAAATTTACAGTGGTAATCTCAATTTAGACTAGCCACATTTCAAGTACCCCACAGCTACATGTGGATTGTGGCTACCATATAGTACCACTCTATTGAAATAGAATCATTGTTGTCTAGGAAAACATTTTAGACTCTGATTCTACTGAGTTACCCAGTTTCAGATGTTTTAGGAATATCACCATTTCTATGTTAAGGGAAGTTTGTTGGCAGAAGCAAGTTGGAAAAAGCATCCATGTTTGCTTTGTCCACAAAAGTCATTGCTCTGGCCAACAAAATCTTCCTTTTTGACATTTTATAATAGAGTAAGGAATTCTCCCTGATCACACTTTTATAGTAGACAGAAAAGGGAAACTTTTTTTTAAATAAATGGCTCTGGGGCCTTACTATGTGTGTGTTTAGTTGTTGGACTCCATGCATTCTGCCCCTCGCCTAAAGTATCTCATGGAAGAAATAACAGTTGTTACGCACTAACCATCAAAGTAGAGTAGTGTCTTCTCTGGACTCTGTTTTTTTTTAGAGAGGAACTCCAAGGAGGATTGACCCTGGATTAATGAAGTTCCCAGGATAAGTGGGAATGTCTGAACCTTGCTAGAAGAGACTATACAACAGATATATGGTGTTGACAGACAATAGATAACCTAGTATCACTAGTATATCCTTTCTAAACTAGACGTGACCACCTTTTTAGAGCAAGGAACAGAGCCCTAGATGGATGTGAGAAAAGAGATAAGAGGATAGCGTACAGATTGACATTCAAGGTCACTTGAGAAGGCTAATGCTTTGTTATGAATGGGCTACACACAGTAGGGTTCTGTATCTTTGGCAAGATCCTGGAGGATATTTTGAAGCATTGCACTTATATTAGCATCTACAGGATGTTCACCTACTGGCTTGCATACCTGAGGCTGGGACTGGAATACACCTACTGGTGTGGTTGGAGATCTTTTGCTACAGTACCATGGCCTTGTAAGGCCTGCTCCAGCCTTCCATATGTTTTCCTTCTTTGGTAGCACTCTCTACACCTCCCTCTGCTTTTAAGGGTTTTATTTTGTAACGAGGTGAAGGCCTGGCAGGGCGGGAACTGGATGGTGAGGGGCAGTAGGGAAAAAAGTGGGGAGACATCTATAATACTCTCAACAATAAATGATAGATGATAGATAGATAGATAGATAGATAGATAGATAGATAGATAGATAGAAAGAAAATGAGAAAGAAAAAAAAAGTTTCATTTTTTATAAACTGTGGACAGGTATCCTTGACACTGTCCTGCATGTCAAAGCAGTGCTTCCATTAGAAAGTGAAGAAGACTCCATTTTATACCCCAGAAACCTGGAAGTTAGCAATTGGTTCTCCTTCCTTGATCATCACATTCTGCACCAAATCATATCAATTCTGTATGCTGCATCACGAATTGTGTGTATTTGTGTATATATGTTTAATGTTAATTGAGACGTAATGTATAATAATAAAAGGGTAATATACTAATTAGACCGGACATCTTCCGGGCGTCCTTCCTGATGAAAGCCAGGGCCAGCAGGAAGCCAACCCCGGTCCTGGATGCCTGCGGCCAGCCTGAGGGAAGCCAGCCCGGGTCCTGGGTGCCAGAGGGAAGCCGGTGCTGGCAGCCAGGGGAAGGAAGGCCTACTCTTGCACGAATTTTGTGCATTGGACCTAATAAAATTCATCCTTTTTAGTGTAGCCTACATACAGACATAGAACATTTCTTTTACCTCAACAAGTACTTTATGCCCTTCTGTACATAGTCCCTTCTCCTGATCCCCAGCCCCTGGCAACCTCCAATCTGTTTTCTACCCTTATAGTTTTGTGTTTTCCAGAAGGTCATGTAAGTAGAATCATATAGTTAAATGATGACACAGTGAAATTTGCAAAGTAACCAATGAAATAAAAGTAAGCTTTAATGAATTTAGGGAGAGTGGACAGATAAAAGGATTTAAAAAATGAAATTCTAGAACCAAAGTAGGATTTCAGAAATTTAAAGTAGAAAATTAGCCCTAACCGGTTTGGCTCAGTGGATAGAGCTTCAGTCTGCGGACTCAAGGGTCCCAGGTTCGATTCCGGTCAAGGGCATGTACCTTGGTTGCAGGCACATTCCAGTGGGGAGTGTGTAGGAGGTGGCTGATTGATGTTTCTCTCTCATCGATGTTTCTAGCTCTCTATCCCTCTCCCTTCCTCTCTGTAAAAAATCAATAAAATATATTTTAAAAAAAATAAAGTAGAAAATTATCATAATACCAAAGTAAAATATGCAAAAATGTAAGATAAAAGATTTTAAGAGTAGCCAAAATAGGTAAAAGTTTTCAAACTGGGGCTTTAGTTAAGTTTAGAATAGCCAAAGGAATGAAACAGTATAAAGATTAAAAGAAGCAAAACTACAGAGATAAAAGCAAAAGGAAAATAAATCAGAATCTTTAAATAAGTATATAGGTGTCCCAAAAAATGTATACACACATTTTGAATAATTATAAAGGCAGTGTTTATTAAAATACATTTCATTTCCAGAATTGAGCTATCAGCTGTTGAAGTTTGTATACATTTTTGGGGACACCCTGTATGTGCATGCACATATATATTTGTATTTGTATACATCAAATGCAAATCTGAATTCAAGAGGACCAAATGGTAATGTTTTTCTGCTGGTAGTTGTTTTGTGGTACTTTTATTGTGTTTCTTAAGCTTTTATTATGGTTTTTCTCAATGAACATTATTATTTATTTAACAAATTTTAAAAAGGAGGTAAATGTGGTATATAATTAAAAATAAAAGTTGAATAAAATTGTGGGAAAAGATTAAAGGAATAATTAGTAGAGGGTAAAAGGAATAAGAGCAAAAATAATCCTATATAATAAAAAGCTAATATACAAATCTACTGAATAGCGGAACGACCAGTCACTGTGATGTGCACTGACCACCTGGGGCAGACGCTCAGCGCAGGAGCTGCCCCTGGGTGGTCTGTGCATTCCCACAGGGGGAGTGCCGCTCAGCCACAAGCTGGGCTGATGGCTGGTGAGTGCAGTGGTGGTGGCGGGAGCCTCTCTCACGGCAGCACTAAGGATGTCCGACTGTGGCTTAGGCCCACTCCCAAGCCACAGTAGGACATCCCCTAAGGGCTCCCAGACTGCTAAAGGGCACAGGCTGGGCTGAGGGACAACCCCCTCCCCAAGTGCATGAATGTTGTGCACCGGGCCTCTAGTCCTATATAATAAAAACATAGTATGGAAATTGTTCCCTTGACTAGGAGTTCTTCTGGGAGTTCAACCAGGGGGTGGGGCCAGCTGGGGGAAGGGAGAGAGGCCCTGGCCGGAGGCTGAGGGAAGGGAGCGAGTACCAGGCAGGCTGACACCAGCTAGGTACCCTACCAGTGCACTAATTTCGTGCACTGGGCCTCTAGGAGATCAATAAAATATATCCCCCAAAATGCAGACTATCTAGACTACAATTTAAAAATATCGCCCTAACCAGTTTGGCTCAGTGGATAGAGCGTCGGCCTGTGGACTTAAGGGTCCCAGGTTCGATTCCGGTCAAGGGCATGTACCTTGGTTGTGGGTACATCCCCAATAGGGGGTGTGCAGGAGGCAGCTGATGGATGTTTCTCTCTCATCGATGTTTCTAACTCTCTATCCCTCTCCCTTCCTCTCTGTACTAAATCAATAAAATATTTAAAAATAAAAATAAAAATATGGATAAGCAAAATAACACCAACCAAAGTGTATGTATGCAATCAGATCCTCGGGACCAAAAGGGAAGGAAAGAGAGCTTAAGGGAAGAAAAGAAAAGAGAGTCAGTGCTCTATACCAGGGGTGGGCAAACTTTTTGACTCGAGGGCCACAATGGGTTCTTAAACTGGACCGGAGGGCCGGAACAAAAGCATGGATGGAGTGTTTGTGTGAACTAATACATGTTAACACTGCTGCTGGTGAAGGAGCGGTGGGGAGAGCAAGAGAACCCTCTGCTCTTTTGGCTCCGCGGGCCGGATAGAACAGCCGAACGGGCCGGATCTGGCCCGCAGGCCGTAGTTTGCCCACGGCTGCTCTATACCCTTAGTCTTTTCTTGACCTTAGGTCTCCTTTGTGGTACCTATTAAA